TCTTTATTGTAATTATAATACAATGAAGCACTATTTTGTTTAATATGCGCTCTTTCTTTATTGTAATTATAATACAATGAAGCACTATTTTGTTTAATATGCAAATTATAATACAATGAAGCACTATTTTGTTTAATATGCACTTTTCTTTATTGTAATTATAATAAACGACAATATTTTTATTGTTTAAATAAAGCACTATTTTGTTTATGCAATTTTCTTTTATTGTAATTATAATACAATGAAGCACTATTTTGTTTAATATGCACTCTTTTCTTTATTGTAATTATAATACAATGAAGCACTATTTTGTTTAATATGCACTCTTTCTTTTATTGTAATTATAATACAATGAAGCACTATTTTGTTTAATATGCACTTTTCTTTATTGTAATTATAATACAATGAAGCACTATTTTGTTTAATATGCACTCTTTCTTTATTGTAATTATAATACAACGAAGCACTATTTTGTTTTAATATGCACTCTTTCTTTATTGTAATTATAATACAATGAAGCACTATTTTGTTTAATATGCACTCTTTCTTTATTGTAATTATAATACAATGAAGCACTATTTTGTTTAATATGCACTCTTTCTTTATTGTAATTATAATACAATGAAGCACTATTTTGTTTAATATGCACTTTTCTTTATTGTAATTATAATACAATGAAGCACTATTTTGTTTAATATGCACTCTTTCTTTATTGTAATTATAATACAATGAAGCACTATTTTGTTTAATATGCACTCTTTCTTTATTGTAATTATAATAATGAAGCACTTTTTGTTTAATATGCGCTCTTTCTTTATTGTAATTATAATACAATGAAGCACTATTTTGTTTAATATGCACTCTTTCTTTATTGTAATTATAATACAATATTTTGTTTAAGCACTATTTTTATTTAATATAATACAATGAAGCTCTTTCTTTATTGTAATTATAATACAATGAAGCACTATTTTGTTTAATATGCACTTTTCTTTATTGTAATTATAATACAATGAAGCACTATTTTGTTTAATATGCACTCTTTCTTTATTGTAATTATAATACAATGAAGCACTATTTTGTTTAATATGCGCTCTTTCTTTATTGTAATTATAATACAATGAAGCACTATTTTGTTTAATATGCGCTCTTTCTTTATTGTAATTATAATACAATGAAGCACTATTTTGTTTAATATGCACTCTTTCTTTATTGTAATTATAATACAATGAAGCACTATTTTGTTTAATATTCTTTCTTTATTGTAATTATAATACAATGAAGCACTATTTTGTTTAATATGCACTCTTTTCTTTTAATTATAATACAATGAAGCACTATTTTGTTTAATATGCACTCTTTCTTTATTGTAATTATAATACAATGAAGCACTATTTTGTTTAATATGCACTCTTTCTTTATTGTAATTATAATACAATGAAGCACTATTTTTATTTAATATGCGCTCTTTCTTTATTGTAATTATAATACAATGAAGCACTATTTTGTTTAATATGCACTCTTTCTTTATTGTAATTATAATACAATGGATGAAGCACTATTTTGTTTAATATGCACTCTTTCTTTATTGTAATTATAATACAATGAAGCACTATTTTTGTTTAATATGCACTCTTTCTTTATTGTAATTGTAATACAATGAAGCACTAATACAATTGTAATTATAATAATACAACTATTTTTTGTTTAATATGCACTCTTTCTTTATTGTAATTATAATACAATGAAGCACTATTTTGTTTAATATGCACTCTTTCTTTATTGTAATTATAATACAACGAAGCACTATTTTGTTTAATATGCACTCTTTCTTTATTGTAATTATAATACAACGAAGCACTATTTTTGTTTAATATGCAATTTCTTTATTGTAATTATAATACAACGAAGCACTATTTTGTTTAATATGCACTCTTTCTTTATTGTAATTATAATACAACGAAGCACTATTTTGTTTAATATGCACTCTTTCTTTATTGTAATTATAATACAACGAAGCACTATTTTGTTTAATATGCACTCTTTCTTTATTGTAATTATAATACAACGAAGCACTATTTTGTTTAATATGCACTCTTTCTTTATTGTAATTATAATACAATGAAGCACTATTTTGTTTAATATACTCTTTCTTTATTGTAATTATAATACAATGAAGCACTATTTTGTTTAATATGCACTCTTTCTTTATTGTAATTATAATACAATGAAGCACTATTTTTGTTTAATATGCACTCTTTCTTTATTGTAATTATAATACAATGAAGCACTATTTTGTTTAATATGCGATTGTAATTATAATACAATGAAGCACTATTTTGTTTAATATGCGCTCTTTCTTTATTGTAATTATAATACAATGAAGCACTATTTTGTTTAATATGCGCTCTTTCTTTATTATAATTATAATACAATGAAGCACTATTTTGTTTAATATGCGCTCTTTCTTTATTGTAATTATAATTGAAGCACTATTTTGTTTAATATGCACTCTTTCTTTATTGTAATTATAATACAAGCACTATTTTGTTTAATATGCATTGTAATTATAATACTCTTTTTGTTTAATATGCTTTATTGTAATTATAATACAACGAAGCACTATTTTGTTTAATATGCACTCTTTCTTTATTGTAATTATAATACAATGAAGCACTATTTTTTGTTTAATATGCACTTTTCTTTATTGTAATTATAATACAATGAAGCACTATTTTGTTTAATATGCACTCTTTCTTTATTGTAATTATAATAATGAATAAGCACTATTTTGTTTAATATGCACTCTTTTTATTGTTTAATTATAATACAACGAAGCACTATTTTTGTTTTGTTTATATACTCTTTCTTTATTGTAATTATAATACAACGAAGCACTATTTTGTTTAATAAATTATAATACAATGAAGCACTATTTTGTTTAATATGCACTCTTTCTTTATTGTAATTATAATACAATGAAGCACTATTTTGTTTAATATGCTTGAAGCACTATTTTGTTTAATATGCACTGTTGAAGCACTATTTTGTTTAATATGCGCTCTTTCTTTATTGTAATTATAATACAATGAAGCACTATTTTTTTTTTAATATGCACTCTTTCTTTATTGTAATTATAATACAATGAAGCACTATTTTGTTTAATATGCTCTTTCTTTATTGTAATTATAATACAATGAAGCACTATTTTGTTTAATATGCACTCTTTTTTTTATTGTAATTATAATTATAATGAAGCACTATTTTGTTTAATATGCACTCTTTCTTTATTGTAATTATAATACAATGAAGCACTATTTTGTTTAATATGCACTCTTTCTTTATTGTAATTATAATACAATGAAGCACTATTTTGTTTAATATGCACTCTTTCTTTATTGTAATTATAATACAATGAAGCACTATTTTGTTTAATATGCTCTTTTCTTTATTGTAATTATAATACAATGATTTTGTTTAATTTCTTTCTTTATTGTAATTATATACAATGAAGCACTATTTTGTTTAATATGCACTTTTCTTTATTGTAATTATAATACAATGAAGCACTATTTTGTTTAATATGCGCTCTTTCTTTATTGTAATTATAATATAAATGAAACACTATTTTGTTTAATATGCACTCTTTCTTTATTGTAATTATAATACAATGAAGCACTATTTTGTTTAATATGCACTCTTTCTTTATTGTAATTATAATACAATGAAGCACTATTTTTGTTTAATATGCACTCTTTCTTTATTGTAATTATAATTAATTATAATACAATGAAGCACTATTTTGTTTAATATGCACTCTTTCTTTATTGTAATTATAATACAACGAAGCACTATTTTGTTTAATATGCACTCTTTCTTTATTGTAATTATAATACAACGAAGCACTATTTTGTTTAATATGCACTCTTTCTTTATTGTAATTATAATACAATGAAGCACTATTTTGTTTAATATGCACTCTTTCTTTATTGTAATTATAATACAATGAAGCACTATTTTTAGCAATCAAGTGCATTTCCGGACTTGAGTGAAATAAATCTTAGCTATTTATCTCAATGAGAATAATAAAAAACGCATTTCCCATGTTATTAATTACTCTTATAATTTTTTGATATCCATAGAAATAAAAATAAATAAATGAGATAAAAGAAATAAAAAAAAATCACCCACTGTGTGAACATTATACAATTAAGCATTTCTTCCTTCTTCGTTTCTGTGAAATTTTAAGTAAGAGCATTGATAAAAAAAGATGTTTATCTCTTTCGTTTTTCTCTTAATGGCAACCATCGATTAAATCCCAGCATGCACTCAGGAGCAAAATGAACAGCTCCAAGATGGCGTTCCTTAATGTTAGCAAATTGTTTGGGGGTGCGAAGTAAGACGAAAGCAGTTATTAAGTTCGATCGGTTAAAACAGCAACTGTTAGGATATTACCTTGAGCGATTATGTGTGAGATTGAATTGAAAATGTTACTTATGGCTCGTAAGAAGTTCTAAAGATTGGTGAAGGGGAGAGAGTTGATATAGATATGGAAAAAGATAGAATTTTAGGTTTTCATCTTCTCGTCTTATGGTTTTCTAGTTCAACCTCCTGTTTATTTCTCCACGTGTTAGCGATACTTATTAAAGAGATACATAGTAATAGATGATTACAAATGAAACGTTAATGTAAATTTGATTATCGGAACTTTATACGAAGCGGTGAGGATAGCATAACGAATATCGCAACGAAGAAAGTGGGATCGAATCCAGATACTCTTCTTTTGCGGTCAGTTTCGAACAAATGCCCTTGGGAAAGTCTTGTGCTCCTCTCTACTCCCCTCACCAGTTATAAGCATATATTTTTAATATTATAATGATTGAGTAGATTAGAATCTCTTTTCATGGCTGACAAGAAAAGCGAAGGAAGTCTCTTGATTTCAGAGCGTGGAGAAGGCAACGAGCAATGACGTCACTATCTTTTGTAAGAAAACCTGGCTTACTGCCACATCACGTAGAAAACATCGGTTCCCGTACGATCAGCGATGTTAAGCAACGTCGAGCCTAGTCAGTTCCTAGATGGATGACCGCTTGGGAATACTGTTGTATACCCCCCTCATGCTTGGGATGTCTTCGGTGACAGCGTCAATTCAATAATAAATTGTCATCTTTTTTCGCGGTCGGCGGTCGCTAGTTGTTTCTTTTGTCGCTGCACCGAAACAACTAGCGACCGCCGATTTTCTCAATCTGTCATTCCGATGCTAGTTCAGTCAATCAAAATTGACTACCTCATTTTGGCTTGCATCTGACCTCGAAGGTCAACCTCCGGAAATCGCAACTGTAATACAATTCCCCCTAAAAATAATAGTCTGATAAAGTATTATTTAACAATATCAGGGGATGTGACGTAATAGATAATGGCTCGGAATTGTTAATCCGAGAGCCGTGTTCCAGGTCCCATTGGGTTTGTTATATTCACTTACGCTTAAATTCACTTGATAAATGTGTGACTCCATCTATTCTTCCCCAGCTATGGGTTAATTAGTAAGACTTCTATCACTAAAACCATTATTATGTAAAAATGTTTGCAAAATATTTAAATATTTAGGTGTTAATAAGTTCAATGGAATCCATCAGCAGATTTCATATATTACTTAAAAGACGTTACATAAGAAAACCTTAAGTTTTTGACGGCAACTAATTTCTAATTCGCTATTTTTAAGGCCATTATTTTATGATGCAATCTAATCTGAAACTCTTCGATTATGTGCATTAGATAATTTTCGCATGAAAATTTTTTTGTTTATCCGTCATTGATAGAAATGTGTCTAAGAAACATTTTGAATATAGTAAATAATTTTAACTACTTACAGTTTATTGAATAAAAGATAGAGTTGATTTGCGTTATATTCAGTTAGCTTATGTTACATTATGTTGGTATACTTTATACGTTGTTGGTTAATATTATATGATGATGTATTATATTACATGATATTCGTTTACGTTATGTATTCTTGTTTACATTATTTGTTGTTGGTTTCTGTTATATAACTTTGCTTTACATTATATGATGTTATTTTACGTTATATATTGTCGATTTACGTCATATGGAGTTGATTTACGTTCCCATGAAACACCGGATCTCATGATATAGACAATATAGTATAACCAAAAAGTTTATTGATTTCAGCATCTCGGGATCTAACGTAGTTAAGTCAGTTGTGACAGATGTTAGATTATACAACTCCGTCTTTGAATCTGATCACAGACTTCTTACTACTAAACTGACAACACCAACCAACAAAACAGATCGTTTCTGCCCACAGAGGCCACGAAAGACACCTAGATACATCTAAGCCCGTAAAAAAGTGTTAGATTAAAATTCTTTAATAGTGTATGGTCCAAATTAATGTCCCTTAATTTTGATACAAAGCAGCATAGTAAAATCAAGCAATGCTATCATATCTTCATTAGCTGAAGCACTTGAGACCATTCCAATAATACCTAAAATGGGAAAGATATCTCCGTGGCAAGATAATCTCGATTTGAGCCTAAAATTGTGAGTCATGTTCAGTAGCCTCGTCAGATGGAGATTCTGCATGGCGCCAAAACCCGTCCAGAAATATTTTAGCAGTCTGATGTATAGAGCTACCTTCTCAGATCAATGATCAAACATGGCTTCGAGCGAATGAAATCTGAGAGGTTTTAGCGAGGACTATCCTTCTTCGAACCATGTGGACTGGCGCTACAGAATCATAAATAAAGAAACGTACCAAATAATAGAAACCACAATACTTTAGAAATTTCAACAGCAGCAGAAACAAAAAAATGTACAGCATATTTAACTTAAAGAGAAAACAATGACATATTCAAGATTTTGACGTTCCACGCAACATTAAGCAAAAGCTTAGAAAAGAAACACCTCATCAATCCTGGAAAGAGCGCTAACAGTTACTGGAGTTTAGAAAATTATTTTCCTGAAAAATTATTTTTAGAGAAAGATTTTATAAATTTCAACCGTCAATGGGACTAGCTACTTGGTAAATAAATGCCAAATGTTTCCTTATAAGAAAGCAAGAAATATTACCATTACCATTGTTGGGTTATACGAGGTCTGTCTGAAAAGTAACGGAATTTGATGTGCTGCGTGAGCTCTGGTCGAAAGTGGGATAAGCAGATTGTGTTATGATCTAACATGATATTTTGGGAGTATATAACTGTAATCTTAGCGTTTGCTTCCCTCAATGCGCGAGAAGAGACGAGAGTTGTGGCAGGACACGTCGTGGCTGCTTCATCACCAAAATGCTCCTGCTCATCACGCCTTGTGCATCCGGTAGTTACTAATCGATAATAACATCACTGTACTGGAATAACCTCTCTATTCACCTGATCTTGCTCCGTGTTTCTTTCTCCAAGTTCAAAGGGATCATCAAGGGGTCCCGTTGGGGCCATTCTGAGGGCCCTAGCGACAGAGCTGAGGGCGATCCAAGAAAAATCCTTCCAGCACGAAATGTAAAGTTAACAGATATACATTCCGTAAACAGTATATTAACATGTTGGCTCCCACACGACCCACCGGAGGGTCGTGGTGGTGTGTCTGCAAGGCTCACACGGCCCTCTGGTGGGTCGTTTTCCAGTTTCATTTTTACGAGGATTTTTGGGAGTGTCATGCTATGATTGATTGCTTATGAAATCATGGTACACCAGAACCTCATTTTTTTCCAAAAAATTTAAAATATTTTTGAATATAAAAAATGAGAGTTAGTGTCAATGTAATACTTGTATATTGAGGATTTTCTAACTACACACGGGTGGGCCGTATCGGAGTCTGGGCTCTAAAATGGACCCAGGTACAGAACGACACACTGGTGGGTCGTGGGTAATAAATACTACCCATGATATCTTTGCCTCATATATGAAACAATGTTAAACAAAGCCGCCTGTACAAAAATTAGTTAAGATATGGTGTTGGGACCCTGGGAGCCAACGTGTTAAAGATCGCTTTGTCATGATGGCTTTTGATGATCCGATTGTTAAAATGCAGAACTTAGCTTTATAGTGATTTCCCTGATAGAAAAAAAAGTTTCAATACGACCTGGGCATCCTACTTTCGTGAATACGATTTTTTGATCTCTACGCCGCTTAGCATTAATGTCAATCTTAAACAAAAACATGAGTTGTATTCAGAAAAGCTTAATTTATAAAAATACCAAAGTTTTACTCGTCATATGACAGTTTTTTTTTTCTTAGTTTTGGAAATATATTTTTGCCATTGTGGTTAATATGAGTTTTTATCTTTTTTGAGCCTTCACACTTCAAATGTTCCATGAGATGCTCATAATTTTAAGTGAGCTTTCGTCAAATAAAAAAACAATCCTACAAATATACAAAGAAAATTGAGGTTCCTATGATCATTATTTAATTGAGTATTTGAGAAGACATGCTTCTGTTTATTTACAAAGAGTGAAATTAAGCTCTGTCGGACTAGATCATTGAAAGTTTTAATAATGAAAATATGCGCCTTGGTAGAGATCAAACCCCAATGCTGGTGATAACTCCGTGAGTTAGAAAACGGCTTAGATCGAACTTACGTTCCATTTTTATTTGGTGGAGGGGGGCGATCACATTTTATCCAGGCGTGTTTGCCATTAAGCTAAGGGTGTCTTTACAGCAAAGCGAGGTTCAATTAGTCTCTTCAAATAATTTTCATCTCTTATTGAGTTGTTTCTGTTTCTATGTCTGCTAATTTTTATTTTCGTCTCCGAAACGTAACGTCCTGGTTAAGACGATAAACTACGTCCGCGTCCTGGGTAAGACGATAAACTACGTCCAGCAGCAAGGCCTCTGATCAGGAGGTTTTAAGGAGCGTGGAACCACCTCTTAATTGCTGGTGTTCCCAGGTTCACCCTGACCCACGGTGATAGCACCTGCTAGGGTCCCAGCCATGGGCAAATAGTTAACTATTACCAGCAATACTTTTTTGAAAAATATTGAAGGAAAATATAACCAGAAACAGATTTTTGACAAAACGAAATATTACCAGCAATAAAATTTTTGTCGCCATTATGCCGTAAAACAAAATAAAACAAACCAAACCAAACCGAAACTTAAATACATTACTCAAAGCACTTTTAAATTCGGAAATATTTCTTATAACGTTAAACGTTATTTCAATGGACAGATATGTTTGTGTAGTCATCACTGTTTATTTATGATACTAACCTCCAGGAGAGCAACTCATTGCCCCTTATCTGCTTAAATTTCTCTGCTGTCATGATGTGGAATTATATTGAATCAGTTGCTAGGTCTGCTGTTAGGAAAGTTGGTTCACTGTGTTGTGCTAGATAAATTTTATCTCTAGAATCTATCTTACATATCTATAAGTCTTCAATGCGTCCATGCTTTCTATATTGCTGCCATATCAGATCTAGTACTCCTGACATATATTTAGAGATTCTTGATAAAATCCAAAGGAGAATCTGCAATGTTATTGGTCCTGAACTGGCATCTGAATTTCAGTTACTTTCCCACCGCCGTAGCATCGCATCTCTGTGCCGTATCTATAAATATTGTCAAGGTAGGCTGATGAACTTTATGACACCTAAACTTTATGAATTTAAGCACAGTACTAGATTAGCGGCAAAGTCTCATCATCTTACAGTTGAAATAGACATAACCATAAGCTCTATGCTAATAGCATCTTTTCTCGGACTTCTCGCTTGTGGAACTCTTTTCTGGGTTTTTAATTTTCATCAGACTGTGATCTTCAAAGATTTAAATTCAATGCAAATCGTTTTCGTCTTTATTCTTAATTAATCTTCTTTTATTGTTCTAGCTCCTTAATAATGTTTTTGTCTTAAATTCTTTCACACTCAAAAACCCTTTGTGCCTTAGTGGCTTTATTACCTTGTTTGAGGTGAAATGCTGGAAAAATGGCGTGTCTTACTCTTAGGCTACAGAGGTGCTTACAGTAAGGCAAGAGTTATACTTCTTTCAGGAATGTTCATCTATCGTTCGGTCTTTTCAGTGTCTATGTCTCCTAACTTGGACTTTCGTATCCGAAACTTAAAACAATTAATTAAAGCAATTAGTGGATTTTTCT